CACAAAAGACATGAAAATAGAATGAGGACTAGTTAGAAAGGGGAAGAAGGTAAGCAGTGCAATGAAGAGTAACGGAAACTGAGTATGATCAAATACATTAAACACACACATGAACATTCCATAATGGAACCCATCATTGCGTGTGATTAATATCATTTAAAAGGAAAATATTTATGAAAATATTGACAGAAAATTTATTTGCAATTGCTGAACATTAAAAGTCACTGAAATGTTTTTAAATGATTAAAAAATATAAACAAAATAAAACTGTGAACAATTTACAAAAGGAATACTACTCAGCAATAAGATGAACAACTAGTAAACAGGAAAAATGGGAAACTTCTATTTCTTTCTGCTAAGTGAAAAAAGCCAACCCCCAAGTGTTAAGTACTGTACCATTCCATTTATAGGATATTCTGAAGAAAAGGGAACTATAAGAAAAGGAAACTTATCAGTGCATGCAAGGGACTGAGAATGACAGGAAGTCAATGATTATATTAATTATGTGTTGCTTTATAACAGGTTATAGCTTAAATTGAAAAGGATTTATTGTGCAATGACTTCAGCAAATCAGAAATTAGTTTGTGGCTTATATGAATGCCTCTTGCTCAAGTTCATTCGTAAGGTTTCCTTGCAGTTAAGTTTAGCTCTTTGTAGGTTGTGCCAGAGATGGGGATGGTTCTACTCCAAACTTTTACAAATGTACTAGAAGGATTCCTGGTTCTAAACTAATGAGCTTAGTTCCTTGCTGGGTGATTATTCCATCATCTCTCCCAATTCCCTGCCAGGTCTACTTCAGTGAGGGACAGCTCCCACCATGGCAGCTGGGTTTCCTCAGACAGTATATAAGATTATTAAAGTACTTGAGATGTGAGCTACTCTTTTTTTACTACCTAGTATCAGGAGTGACTTCCCATCACCTTTGACAAAATTCTATTTTCTAGAAGGGGGTCTCTTAATCCGATCACATTCAAAGGAAAGGATTGCCAACAGCAAGACTACCAGTACACTGGAATCACTGGAGCATAGCCCTCACTTGACCACAGAGATTCACATTTCTCCCCCAATGAAAATACTCTTCTCTTAAGGACCCAACAGGCCTCTCTTTCTACATTATAAGTTAAAAGTCAATAATTTCATGATCTGAGTCAGGGACATCTTAGATTGTGTCCATCTCAACCACAGGGGCTGTTGGGAAAATTTTAGGGTGATAAAATTTATCTCTAGCAATAATGATTACATAGCTGTATTTGATTGCCAAGAACTGAATATTATAAATGATGAATTTGGTGGCTGGAGAGATTTCTCAGTGGTTAGGAGCACTTCCTGGTCTTCCAAGGGACCCAAATTTGATAACCAGCACCTACCTCAGGAGGCTCACAACTGCCTGTAACTCTAGTTCCAAAGGTTATGATACCCCCTTCTGGCATTTGGGAATGCCTGTATCCTTTGTTATAGACACACATACATACACATAAATGCCATGTATGATGGCACACGCCTTTAATCCAGCACTCAGGAGGCAGAGCTAGGCAGATCTCTATGAGATTGAGGCCAACATGTTCTATACAGTGAGTTCCAGGCCAACACTGTTTACAGGGAGACTTTCTCAAAAATAATCAAATAAAAAAGAGAAAACACACACATAAATAAAAATACAAATAAATATTTTTAAGTCATAGATTTTACTGAAATGTGTACTTTCAGCAAATATTTATTTATTCATTTATTTTTGAGACAGGGTCTCGCTAGGTAGCTCTGGCTCGCCTGGAACTTGCTGTGTATAACAGATTGTGCTGTGTAAAACAGACTGGCCTGGAATTCACGGAGATCCTTGTGCTTCTGTCCCCAAGTGCTGGGATTAAAGGGATGCACCACCATGCCAAGCTTAGATTTGTTATTTTTTACGTGTGTGTGTGCGCACCTGCCTGAGTGCACCACATGTGTGTGGATGCCTATGCAGGCTGGAAAAGGGCATTGCATCTCCTGAACTGGAATTACAGGTAATTATGAGCTACCTGATGTGGGTCATAGGAACCCAAATCCTTTGAAAGAACTAGTGCATGTAACCTCTGAGCCATATCTCCAGCTCCTGAAATTTATACTTTTATTTAAAAATAGAAAATGTTAAAGAACGCAGTGAGATAAGACATTCAAACATTAGATTTAAATTTGGCCAAGTGAATGAAATTGACTGCATATTAACAAAATATTAATAAAATATAACAATACAAATATATATTGGCACTAGAAAGCAGCATAATGGTTTCTAATTTTGCCATTGAAAAGTTCTAATAACATATGTATATAGAGTCTATAATTTTCTTATAGGAAAAGAAAAATATTATTTTAACTATTTTAATTAATATCGCTTTCCCTTATTAGTATTTATTTTCATTAACAATTCACCAATTCAAGTTTTAGGAATGATAAAGATATAAATTCACTATTAACTTTTCTTCTTTCATTCACAAAAGAACTATTAGAACAATTCTCTGTAAAATGCATTTTGATAACCATGTTTGAAAATAATATACCACCAATAAGCTGAATCTAGACTGTGAAACAATCTAGCTTTCCTGCTTGTTTTCTGAGTTTCTGAAGGTGAATGGGCATGGCAGTGAGATCCAGTTACTCCTTGTTGTTTATGCAGCTGCCCTTAATTGAACTCCGGCTTGTGTTACACACAGTTTGTGATAGGAAGTAAATGCTTTCAAAACAACTAAAAAGACAGGTCTTTAACCTCCACCTTGTAGATTCTCGGTTCCACTGTTAGCTTCTGTGGAGGTTATAAAGGAAGCAGCTCTAAAACATGTTATCGCTCTCCAGTGTAGCCTCATGTGGTTACCTCAGCCTAGTGTCAAGTCATTTTATATGTATTAGTATCAATATTTGAAATCAAACACAGGAAAGTCCACAGACAGTATGTTTATTTTAAATGAAGGTTTATAAGTACCAGGTTCTGAAATGTTCAACAGTAAATTTGTTCTAAGGAGAAAATGGTGTTTAGATTCTTTCAAGGGCTTAGTTGGTAAACAGTTTTAAAAGGCCTAGGAGATTCATCAAATTTTATTGCTAGTAAAAATCTTTCACACAACATCTGAAGATATTGAGACCCACAACCACCTTTGTATATCTCTTAAGTGTAGCTGTGTATGTAATAAGTCAGAATTTTTTGGATCTAAATTATTTTGAAAATTATGTTTGGGTAGCTTTAGAGGTCTTAATGATAAATCACTCTTATTTTGTATAAGAATAATTTCTTTAATTGATTGAGTATGGTGTGATTATTGGGAATAATAAAAAAAGATGAAAACCATAGCCAATCATGTCTTAAGTTACTTATCAGGTGGTGGTTAAAAAATACTTTCCCCACTTGAAAATACCTGACTTTAATAAGAATTACATGTAATCAGACTAATCATGATCCTTCTATAATCACATTCTTCTTGTATCTATGAAATATAATTGACTTATTATAACATACTTGCTTTGCAAAATTTTTAGGTAACTTCCTTCATAGATTTTCCAGGGAAAGTCACATACTAAACCATTCTCCAAGAAGACCATTCCTATATATTTATTCATATATTAGTGCATTAATTGCATATCATGTGATACATATGATATGATGTGTAACATGTATGTATACATAATTTTTATAGAAAACCACTAATAGTTCTTCCAGGTGCCATGCATTTTCACAGTAGTTCATGTTCAATGCAAAGCTCCACAGTCTGGAATTTCTGCTCTTAGATCCACTGCTCAATTTTCAAAGACCATATCACATCATTAACTTTTGTCTCCTGCATTTAAAGCAAAGGACTGAACAAAAGTTAATTCAAATAAGAACATATAACATGCTTTTAGTGTAACAGTACAGGCTGCAGCATTTGATCTATGATTCTGCTAGGAAATAAAAATATTTATAAGAAAAAATTAGCATACAAGACTATTTCTCCTTTCTTGATCCATTTGCTAAAGGACTTATTATAGAATCATATTTGATATAGGAAAAATAAGCCATTCTTATTGAGTGTGTGAATCATAAGGCCTCATGAGGAAGATTTGGGAAATCTTTGATGAAATAAACAACACTCGTTTTCTTCTTTATAATTAGGACAAATTGTAGCTACATGGGTCAGTTAAGAAATGTTATGGCTGGGGCTGGAGAGATGGCTCAGTGGTTAAGAGCACTGGCTGCTCTTGCAGAGGACCTGGGCTCAGTTCCCAGCACCCACATGGTGGCTGAAAACTGTAACTCCAGTTCCAAGGGATCTGATGCCCTCTTCTGACCTCTGTGGGAATTGTAGGACATTGGGTGCACTTACATACATGCAGGCAATACACTCATACACATAAAATAAAAATAATAAATAAAAGTATTAAAAAAAGAAATGATAGGGCATCTTGGTAAACTATGGGAAGAGCCAGATACAACTTTACTTTATATACTTCCATAAATGAAAACAAAATATTGGCTCTTGGTACTAAATAGTGCAGTGGTTTGTTCTTTATTCCAGCAGACAGTTTTTGAGACTTCTCAAGTCATCAGGAAATAATAGTATGTAATATTTCATTACATACCAATTTCTTCCATCAGAGTAATTAGAAATTATGGTATCACATACCAAAAGCTCATCACTGCCCATTGTTTCTTTTGTTAGAACATTACCAGCTAGCTTTTATGATCTGTCATATTATAAATGTTAGCAAAGTATAAATTTTGGAAGTCATTTCATTTCACTGGCAGCATTTAAGTAAGTCACATACAGCATACATATTTATTGGCTGTGTTTCAATTCTTATTTGTAATTTTTATACTGTCTGGCTCCAAAAATGTTTAGAGGCACCTTATTTTAATTATAATTATATTGGATAGCCTTTTCAGAGATGTTCCAGATTTTTCATCCTAACTCGACAGAGCAACAAACATAACTGAAATGGAAGTTGCTTTGTCCTTTTTTCTCATGAATCATTTCAAATTACGTGTTTTGCAGAGGTTAATATTATTTGGGCTGGACACCAAGTGCACCACAGTTCTGAAGACTATAACTTATCCACAGCACTGAGACAATCCGTCTTGCAGTTATATACTTCCTGGGTAAGTTGTGTGAAATTAAATAAATGTGATACTATGATTTGTTTTTTAAATCTCTACCAGGCACATATGAAGCAAGCACTCTTTTCTAATAGTAGTCTTTTGTTTGTCCTAAAAACTTTCCTGAAGGTGTATAGCAATCTGAGAAAGTGTCTGCCCAAACTTTTTACATATTCTCATCCAGGAGGGGGACATACAGTCAGACAATGAGTTGCAGTTCAAATATATGCAAACAGAATTTGTTAAAGATCTATGTGAAACATCTATGTTTAAATGAAACAACTCAACAACTTCCATTTTTGGATAATCAAAATCTTCTTGAATCCCTTTACTTCAATTTTTAAAATTAGGGAAACATAATTGTAGTTTTTTAGAGTACAACGTAATATTTTAAGAAGTATGTATTTTAGAATGATCAAATGAGGGTAATTAAAATGCCCATTACTTTGTGGTTGAGAACACTTAAAATTCTGTTACAGCTACTTCGGAAACATCTAATATTACTATTGCAATTACATACGAGTAGTATCTACAGTCGTGTTATTGTGCCAGAGAACATAAAAGAATTCATTCTTCTAACTGTAACTGTACCAGTAGACACACTGCTCCCCTTTCCCCATACCCACACTTCACACCCACACACCCACAGTTACCACACTTCAGGAACCACCATTTTACTTTCTTATTTCTGAATTTCAACATTTGAGAAAATTTATACTGTGTGCATCTCCCTGTGCCTGGCTCATTTTACATAGCTTCCCCTAGATTCATCCATGCGGTCACAAATTGCAAAACTTCACATTAAGGCTGAATGGTATTATACTGAGCACCTTGTTAGGAAATGCTCATCTGTCAGTGGACATTTAGTTTGTTGCTATATCTTGACTATTTTGAATAACCTTGCACTAAGTGTGGGTGTATAGACAGTTCTTTGGCATACATATTTCAAATATTTTGAAGGAAGTAAAATATCTGCATACTGAAAACCATAAAAGGTAAGGACAGTAATTGAAGATGATATAATAAACACAAAGATATCCATGTGTGTCGATTAGATGAACTAATATTGCTTCAATTGTCACATTGTAAAATGTGATTTTCAGAATCAGTACAACCGTATAAAAGCTCCAAGTCTTTTTTCATAAAATAGTAGTCCTAAAATTCCTGTAAATTAAAAATATACTAAGTAGCCAAAACAATATTAATAAAAAACAACAAAATTGGAGGTATCATGCTAGTGCACTGGAATTAAAGTGACGAAGGGTAACCATGAACCAAATATATTGGTCAATAAACAGGATAGAGAGGCCAGAAATAGATCTCCACACACCTACATCTACATGTCAATGAACTTTCAACAAAAGTACTACAGCATATATATGGGAAAGGATATTCTCTTCCCTCCTCTTCCTTAAAATAGTAGTCCTAAAATTCCTGTAAATTAAAAATATACTAAGTAGCCAAAACAATATTAATAAAAAACAACAAAATTGGAGGTATCATGCTAGTGCACTGGAATTAAAGTGACGAAGGGTAACCATGAACCAAATATATTGGTCAATAAACAGGATAGAGAGGCCAGAAATAGATCTCCACACACCTACATCTACATGTCAATGAACTTTCAACAAAAGTACTACAGCATATATATGGGAAAGGATATTCTCTTCCCTCCTCTTCCTACTCCTTCATCCCTCCTCGTCCCCCTCAGTTTTTTCTTCATCTTTTGTTAATTTTTTTTATCTTATTAGGGCAATTACTATGATGCTTGCCATGCTTTATATATGGTTTTAATGTATCCCTAAAACACATTTGTTGTGAACACCTTTGTCCCCAAGGTGGCAGTACTGCGGGGGGTATGTGTGGCACATTTAAGAGGCCTGGCCTAATGGGATGTCTCTAGATGAATTGGAGATATGTCTATGTAGAGATTGCTGGACTTCAGTTGCTTCCTCTGGCTTTCTGTTTGAGGACCTGATTGCAAAGTACCACACACATTCATGCCATTGAAATCCACCATGAGGTGCCACAAAAATCACCCAAGCTGCAGCACACCATATGGGCTTCCAGCTTCCAAAACTGTGAGCTACATGAGCCTCATTTTTATGCTAGTTCCTCTCTAGTATTTCTTTGTAGTCATTTCATACAATTGGTTAAATATTTTCAATGTATCAGTCAGATGTTCATAGCAACTGTAGTACAGAGGAATTTAAGTAACACTCATTAGAAAATGATAGAATTGAGCATGAATTTAAGTAACAGTGGTAGTAAAGGAAAGCATAAATGAATTCATGCAGTCTGGCTCCAGGCACTCGATCTTATGTCTATTCTCTATTCTTCACCATGCTCCTGTAAGGATTGTTCTTCACATCTTATCTCTTTTGTTCTTTATAAACAAGCTCATGGTTTGCTGGCCCAAAATTATCAGGGAACTGAAGGTTAATGAGGTTAATTACACAGCTAGTAAGTGGAAAGGTCAAATATTTAAACAGGTGCCTCATAAATGAGAGACAACATACGCTGATAGGAATGCTAATCCAAACAGCAGCAGAGCAAGCAAAGCTGTAAGCCTGTAATGGTATGGTTGATAGGCAGGACCTTAAAGAACCCACTCCTAACCCCATCATACACAGGCCTGTGCTCAAACTTGTATTTATCTCTGGGATGCTGTAACCAAATAGTACAGACTGCATGGCTTACAAACCACAAAAATTACAAAAATGTATTGTCTCAAGACATCAAGAGGCCAAAAGTCAGTGTAAAGATGCCTCCAGGGCCTGTTACCTCTGAAGAGCCTGGGGAAGATCTGGCAGTTTGTGGGTTTGTTTCAGAATAACTCCAGCTTCACATGATGTTCTTTCTGCTTCTTTGTGGAAATTTCCCTTTTGAAAATAAGAACACTAGTCATCCTGAAATAGAGATTTGAGAGGAGGAAACGCCAAGGTAGAATGTAGCCGTATTTAACATTGCTTCAGAGAGGTCCTTGCCATTAGTGAGGCAGTTGCCTAAGGTATTGTCAGCAGTTCTATCAGAGCCTCGTTTATTTCAAAATCAGAAGAAATCTTGTGGATTATTAAATATCTCTTTTCAATATATATTTTGTTGGCTTTTGTGCATTTCATATGATACATTTAAATTATATTTAGGCCCCACTCTCCTATCTCCACACCCCCAATAGCCCACCCACCAGATGTTTCATGTATTTTGCCATATATGTTAAGGCCTATCAAGTCAAGTTTGTGTCCTCAGATCTTTCCATGTGAGTTCATTCATTAGAGCCCGGTCAGCCTAGCTAACATCATTTCCTTAAAGAAGAGCAACTCTCCCTCACCCAGCGGTGATCAGCTGCCAATATTTCCTTGGCTAAGGTTGGAGCCTCCTGCCCGTTTCCCCAGTTCTATGCTAGTTTTTCTCTGAGTTTACATGAGCCTTGTGCATGCTGACACCATTTCTGTGAGTTCATACGTACAAGTTCCTAGAACCCTGAAAGACTGTTTCCTTATGGTCATGCACCACCCCCGGCTTTTACAATCTTTCCGCTCCCTCTTCCACAATGAGCTCTGGGCCCTAAGAGGGTAAGGTTTAATATAGGAGTCCTATCCAGGGACATGCGCTCTACAATCTCTTATTCTCTACACTTTGGCCAGTTGTGGCCTTCTGTGGTAATCGTGCTCTGTTGCACAAGGAAGCTTCACTGGAGAGATGCATTAATATTCTTTCTACCCCCTATTCCACTATGTTCCATTAGCCATCAGTGTAGAGGTTACTGTAGATGTGTCACTTAGGGTTGGGTTACTCAGACACTTATTCTCTGTGTATGACCAGTTGTGGAACTCTATAATAGTCTCTATCTGTTGCAAAAAGAAGCTTCTTTAATGAGCGGTGGTAGGTAAACGTGTCTGTAAATAAAGGGATCCATATTTAGCATAGAGTAAGAAATTACAATTGTCTAGGTATATTATATATTTTACAACTACAAAAATGAGTCTCAGAAAAGCCCCCACCACATTACATTGCAGTCAGCACTCCTACTTTGGAACGCCAACCCAGATACCTGATCTCAGTTTATTGTAACTGCCATCTTGGTTCTTCACATGTTGTCCTCTCTGTTAAATCAATGTGTCCAAAGTTAAAATGAGTGAAAAACCAAGGGATGTAGGCTCACACTTATCTATTGCCAATTAAAAAAAAAAATCTATGCCACTTTGTCGCAGGCACTGTAAAGTGTCCTGAGTAAAGAAATGAGTACTGGGTATGTACCACACATTGCTGTTTGTTTGGAGAGGAGAAGAGACGAATGGGCACAATGGGAAATGAGAGGTAGGGGTGTAAGTCAGCCTTCAGACCACCACTTCCAGATCTCTTAGAAGATAGGAGAGGCAATTATCAACCTAATATGTCTTCCAATTCATTAAAAGCAAAGAGCAGAGTTCAGGTCTTTTTGCTCTCCTTGAGTCATTTCTAAGAGTCTCCTCATCAGCAGTAACATAAGCCTGCAATTTTGCAGTTTCCAAGGCAACCGTGTATTTTAGAACAAATAATAAATGGGTCATGTCTTTGAAAAGAAAATTGATGCGTGAAATGAACAAAATTAATCCCAGAGAATGTTTCTTTCACTTCATCATGAAATTGAAGGTAGTAGACCCGTCATGTAAAGCAGCTACAGATAAGAATTCAATTTTCTAAATTTTTCTAACCATGCTGTTTGTATTTTAAAGACAATTTTAAGCTTCATATTATTTATCCCAAAGGAGTTTCAATTTATAGAATACTATTTAAACTGAATGCCATTTTATTTACAGTATTCTACAATAGATGGTTTTATATACTTTCTTTAATCATCTATTATACATCTTAATACAAACTAAACACAAGTAATAAAATGCATTTAGGTCCATGAATATTATATAATATATAATTAAGTTAAAATTAACACTCACTCTTCTCTAATTTTATAGACAAAACTTCTGGGAGCTGCAATTTTACATTCACAGTATAATTATAGATGTGCAAACAAAATAAAAAAAGAGCAGGCTGTGTTTAACACAAACTTGTAGTCACAGCACTCATGAGCTTGAAGCAGGATTACAGCCATGAGTTGGAGGCCAACCTGGGCTACCTAGCAAGTCCTAGACCAGCCAGTGATACATGGCAAGAGTCTGTCCAAGAAAGGGAAAGAAAGAAAGAAAGAAAGAAAGAAAGAAAGAAAGAAAGAAAGAAAGAAAGAAAGAAAGAAAGAAAGAAAGAAAGAAAGAAAGAAAGAAAGAAAGAAAGAAAGAAAGAAAGAAAGAAAGAAAGAAAGAAAGAAAGAGGAAGGAAGGAAGGAAGGAAGGAAGGAAGGAAGGAAGGAAGGAAGGAAGGAAAGGGTTGCATTTATAGAAATAGAGAAGCCACACTGGAAAAGTTCCCAAAAGTGAAATTTGAAACAATTTGACAATAATAAATTATATGATATAGTAGGGAATTATTGTAATCTAAAGTGGGAAACAAACTTGTTTTGAAATTATTACATATTGATATGCGTAAATGGTTAAAAAAATAAGTAAGTCATCAATCAGTTCAGTTTCAAGGATCCAGCAGTCTATGTTTTCTATTCATAAATTATCTATCCAACACCATAACCTTGCAAGATCATCACTTGAATGAAGCAAAATCACTCTATATTTTTGAGAAAAACATATAATAGACTCCGTATCATAGGCAGAGCTAGTCAAAGCCAGTTCCCATCTCTTGGTCCAGTTTCATCTCCCATTACCACAGTGTCACCCCATCTGCAAACAACTAACTGAATGCATTGTTCTCAGTTCACACGATACCTGGTATTTTCTGTACTGCTATTACCACTGCCTGGAAGAATATTCTTCCTTTAAGGCTGGTTGCTGTAGCCTTCAAGTTTTAATTCAGTCACCTCCACTTTTCCCAGAGAGATACATTCCTGATATTGCCTAGATAAAATTTTTTGCTTTTTGGTGCTATTGGTATTTCTCCCCCTCCTGCCCCCCCTCTTAACCTTGTCTGTACTTATTATTACACTTAAATTCCATTCATTCATTTTAGCCTAAAATCTCTAAAAGAAATTAATCAAATCTATCTTCACTGTCCATGTAGTATAAAGGACATGATATAGCTTGATAAATGTGTTACGTGAAAGAAATAAAAGTTGTATAGTCATCAAAATAAATGTGACAATGGTAATATTTTGCCAAAGTAATTACAATGTAGTCATTATAAAATTCATAAAGGCACAAAAATGAAATAATTTAAATTTACCATAAGTCACCTAAAATTTTTTATTTAATAGACCTGCACAAATTATAACACAGAGTAAATACCTTATTTACCTTTTGAATGAAATATATTTAAACATGTTTCTTTCATGTTTGAACCTAGTGTTGAATGGGAACTGAGTATTCTCTCAACAACATGTTGAATTAACAAAATGTACTTAGTTTAAATGAATCTTTCATCAAAATTGCTTTGCTTTCTGATGCTTGGTATTAAATTTAAATTTTATATGATTCAATAAACATGTATTTATAATATATTGACTATCTAAAAGAGGTAAAATTTATCCCAAATCATTTTAAAAATGTAGTTTAAACATCAATTTAAGAAAACATTTACTGAAATATTTTTATGTCAACTCTGAAATATGTAAACATATGGTAGATACAGAATTTCTAATATACAATATTTAATGTATTTAAGAACTAGTGAAAGCAAATAATCAAATTAGTAATTACATGTAAGAATTTCATATAGAAGTATCAGGTAAACTATTTGTAGTGAATTTGAGGATACCATGCTTGGAGATAGACGATAAGTGGACTCAAGATATAATTCCATGGTAGAACACTTAATATTAATGCAGCCCAAGATTTGATCCTCAGGTATGAAAGTAGAAAAAAACAGGAAAGGAGGGGGAGAAGAAGAAGGGAAGGAAGAGGAGGAGGAGGAAGAGCTAGAGGAAGATGAAGAGGAGGAGGAAGACAACAATGATGACAACAAATAGGAAAGAATCTCCTATCTGTACCACATTTGCTAGGCTGCTTTAATGCAAAAGAATTAGGACCTTTTTCTGTATAATTAGTTTCCTTTTGCAACATTGTAATAACCACAAATAATGATCATTCAAGTAATTAATATGAGTTATTCCTGGATGCCTCTCAACCTATATTTTCATTTCTTTTAAAAACTATGGTGTTTTGGCCAGGTGAAGTGATGCATGACTGAAATTCCAGTACTTGTAGGCAAAGGTAGGAAGATTTCCCATTCTGGACTAGCCTGAGCTACATAATAAAACACTTGTCTCAGAAAACTAAGACTTGGGGATGTACACAGTGGTAGAATGAATGCTTAGCAAGTGCAAGACCCTCAGATCAATCCCACCGCCCCCCATAAAAAGATAAAATTGAATTAGAATTCATGTTTACCATGTTTGTCAGTTCATTACAATGTCTACTAATGTGCAAGTTTTTTGATGCTTTCATGAAATTTTAGGAATTCTAACCCCATGGGAAACTTATCCAAAAAGTATTTTATAGGCTGTTAGGATTTGGTTCACATTAGCATGATAAAAGGATCTGAAAGGTGCTTTTAAAGAAAATTCCATGGTTTAATTAAGCCATAGCATTCAGCCATAGAACTACTTTTTCAGTAACAGTTGTTATATCTCAACACTATTTCTCTACATTCCATATCAACCTGTCATGCAATAGCTTTACAAAATTTTTATTTATTGAACATTCACATAAGTTGCTTTTTACCTTTTCTTCAATTTAAAATTACAGTCCAAATTATCAGACTTTATTGTAGCCCCAATGTGTTAGAAGTATTTCTTGTTATTTCTTGTTATACTAATATTTCTTAGTATAAGCTGAAACTCAAAGATTATTACCATAGTTTTTTGGAACCTAATGGATGATAGATTCCAAATATCTTTGTATTTCATTGTTATTCTGAAGGAACCAAGGCCTTGAGATTTAAAACCCTTTCTATCTTGGAAAAGCAGGTAGTGGGACCGTGGTTGAAGAGCTGAGCTCTAGAATTAAAAAACAAACAAACAAACAAACAAAAAAACCTGTATTTTTTTATTGCTCACTTGTTTAATCCTTGTTCATTTATCCACTGATAAATAAAACTGACCCTGCTTTCATGAAGTAGTCTTGATGTTTTGCGTGACTTAAATTTAGAAGCATAAACAAGAAGAGTTTGTGTAAAAGTTTAATTTCAAATCACACTCATTATTGTCCTTCAAATTACAGTTTGCCTAATTGAGAACAAAAACTTTGTAATAATTTAGCAAATAAATTTTAACTTTCAGAGGAAATGTTTAGAAATTCAGCTCTATAAAAACAGAATTGGAAAATAGAAGTAAGAGTCTTCTAAGTCTGATTTGGTTCTTTAGTGTTTTTTTCTTTCACTGAAATGTTTTCTCCCAACATGAAGCTACTCACAGCATGAAGCCATTAGAACAGGACAAATCATACTTACTAATTGATTCTAAGTAGCTCTGTGGTTTAAACAGAAATTGTCTTTCTAAGGCACAGGCATTCCTATCTCTTAGGAAATCTGGACCTTTAAGATTTGTTTCCACTAGTTTCAAAACATACACCCCACCGTAATAGCTTTGAAATTTTAAGAGATATGGAAACTCCAATCACACAGAAATTAAAATGGAAAACATAGCTACTCTTTCATTATTACATAAAATTACTTTATTTTATTATGATCTCATTTTATTAGTCAAAATGCCAGGTAATAATAGAGCATTTGGGAGTGGTCCAAGGTCCAAAGGCATATGCTTTACAGTGTTTCGTTTCAATAAGGTAAGCATTTGTGCATCTATAAGGAACCACTTTACTTCCAGGAAACACATCTAATCTTTCAACAGGAAATAACACACAACATATATTTCAACTACATAACATTAAATGCAAAATAGAAGGCTAGTGTCTGCAACCTCATCACTGTGATGCAAAGTCAAATGGCAATAAAATGCATAGAATAAAGTATGTTTGCTGAAGAAGTAACATTAATAAAGCATTATGTTGAGAAACCATATATGCAAATTAACACAAACTTTCTGTCTTAAAGATTTTCTACTCTCCCCTGGCCCTATTCATACCACCATCAGTGTTTGCTGTCCATGTTCAATTTAATCTACTCTACCAATTTTGGATCCACACAGAGGTAAGTGTGAGTGTGTGTGGGTGTGTGTGCATGCACGTGTTTGTTTAAAATTTTATACCTAAACAGCCTGAAGCAATGTCCTAGAAATCTACTAGGAGTTGATTTATTGTGTAAGAAAAATCTTTGTCTGCCTTCTTTAAGGAGAAACATCTGTTCATTTTTATTCATTTTTTCTGAATATATATTGCAAAGTTTATAAGAAGCAATGAAGCCAGTTGGTCTCAATTAAATAAAACAATTTTTGAACTATTAAGTACCAAAGCATTTTAATACTATATTCAATACATTATCTTCCTGCATTACAGTCCATTAAACATTACTAACCAAGAGATGTTGAAATCCATTTCAATTTAGAGATAGAAATTTATATATACTTTTACATGTTGAAATACATATGTTTGAAGATCACTTGAAAAAGATTTAATATTTACAGAAATTAAGAAAATTTTTTATTGGAAACCTTGCTTTATAGAGTAAGTTTCATTTAAAGGAACACAGTTTTTTTGTTTTTTGTTTTTTCTCTAGAAAACTGAACACATGCTTTCACAGTTACACGGGATTTCAACTGAATATTTGCAGCTAGATCATTTAGCAACTGTTTTGTTTTTGAGCAATTTGTATTCATTTTTGTTAAATATAAAAATCACAGATTCAGAAAAATTCCTACATGTACACAAGAACCCTTTTATGCATTTGTGATTTACTGGAAGGCTTTTGAAGTTCCCACAGGAAGCAAGGTGAACATTGGGGTGAACACAAGTAACAGATGCATGAGATTCTTAATCTTGATACAGCAAAGCATCATTTCATTAATCTGCAGTATCTCACACTACTTACTTGCTTGGAATAAAGACACTGTTACCCTAACTTTGGACATATGTGGATTATTTGAAGATCTGTCATGAAATACTATTTGTTTTATGGTACTTGACATACATCAACCATCTATACAACAACCATCTGAAAGAGTTGTTGAGGCCAGTTTTGACTGTAGAGGTCAAAGACCAAATTTGTTTAAATCAGGAGAGGGAGCTTTCTGATGATTTACGTGGAAGGGTTAAAGGAGAATTACATTTTTATAGCAGCTCTGCCCCAGGTCACACCATGTGTTGGGTTAGGTATTAGTCTGGATACAGAGCAATGGTGCCTAAGTAACTTGTGCCTCTTCCCCCATCTCTCTGAGAAGTCCCTGAGCCAGGGATTGAGTGCTGTCTCAGAAAGATAGAGGAAGAGGAAAGGCCAGAGGGGGTTATTTCTTTTAAGATCATCTCTTCCAGGTGCTTGCAACTCCAGTCCAGTAGCAGCATATTGGATCCTGTCCTGTGTTTCCTTCATATTTTTGCAGGAACTTTACCAAATACAGTTACTACAGATGAGTGGCATGAGAAGCAAGCTCACTCACTAACTATGGTTTGTGTCTTTGAATTTTAAATTGTGTTTAAACTATTCATTAGTTTTTGAGAATTTTTAAAATTTTTATTTATTAATTTTATTTTATGTGAATGCGTGTATTGCCTGCATGTAGGTAAGTGAACCTGTGTCATTCAATGCCCACAGAGGTCAAAAGAGGCTGTTGGGTCCCCTGGGACTGGAGTTAGGGACAATTGTTAGCTGCCATGTGGGTGCTGAGCAGCCATGTGGATGCTAGGATTCAATCCCCTGGAACTGGACTTACGGACAGTTGTTAGCAGTCATGTGGGTGCTGTGATTTGAATCCAGGTCTTCTGTAAGAACAGCCAGTGTTCTTAACCACTGAGCCATTTCTTCAGCCCCCCACATGTAATTTTAAAATGTTAAAGCACACAGTAAAAATAAAAACTGGGACTGGAGAGATGGCTCAGCTGTTAAGAGCACTGGCTGTTCTTGCAGAAGACTCAGGTTTGAATTCCAGTACCCACATGGCAGCTAACAACTGTCCCTAACTCCAATTCCAGGGGATCTGATGGTCTCTTCTGTCTTCTGTGGGCAGTGCATGACAAAGGTGCACTTACATACATGCAGGCAATACACGCATACTCATAAAAAAGTAATAAATAACATTAAAAAATAAAAATAAAAAAGCTGAAAATAATGGTTTTCATCTACCAAACTATCCACATTATGAACTTAAAAGATGTTAACCCCTAACCCCTCTTAGCTCCTCGTACACTCTAACATCCAGCATCATGGAAATGCCCTCTAGTTAACAAAACCATATGTGAGTAGCAGGCATGACATTGTTGGCCAAAGGCCTGGTTCTTTCTCAAACAGAGGTTTTCTTCTCTACCGTCCCTAAAGTTCAGTTCTTACAGAAGGGAAATCTGGCTAGGGAGATATTTGTTTTTATGAAGATGAAAAACTTAACTTCAATCCAGTTTAGAATGAGAAGGAAAAAAAAAAAACCTAAAAAACATTTTTTGAAGGACTGTATATAAGAGAAAATTAGGTCATTAGACTAACTGAAGTTTTTTGTTTGTTTTACTGTAGATTATTTTCACAAAGAGACAAGGGAGTCTTAGTCCCATCTTCTATTTGAAAGTTACAAAAATTTGGCTTGCATTAAAAGTATGTTCTGTTGCTGAAATTTTATGTCTAAAGTTTGTTTCCTCTTCATGGGCCTTGCGTGTTTGCAACACATATTTGGTGTGCTCTGTTCGTGTAAATATGTCAACGCAGCACAAAAATGTTTTTACACAATGCAAGTTTTAAACTCAATAGCTGTGGAATATTTTCTGTTTTATATGTATTACGTGTTACTTGGGTTTTAGCTGCATTGGCACTGTACAGTAGTAATAAGGACATTGCTCGCCCTAGATTAATCTTAAATCATACTCTGCTATCATGCTTGAGAAGAGGAATGTTGCAGAAAGCTAATATAATACTTTGGTATTGAAGATTTGAATCATGACTTTATTTCTTTAATCTTATTTTTATTTTATGTCTATGATGTATTGCCTGCATGTAGGGGCACCTGTGTTGTGCAGTGCCTACAGCGATCAGAAGAGGGCATCAAATCCCCTGGAACTGAAGTTACCAATGGTTGTTAGCCATCATTGGATGCTAGGAACTGAACTCAGATTCTCTGCAAGGGTAGCTAGTGCTCTTAACCACTGAGCAATCTCTCCAGCCCCAATTTCTATAATCTTAACCTAAACCATTAAATGTAACACTATGAAAATATAAGTTATAATCTCTTTATGTACTGACATAAAGTTATAATCTCTTTATGTAATGGCATAGCTAGAATGCAAATCAAACTGTATAATATATGCTTTTATTTGTATTATAGAGTGATATACATATATATGTATGTATATACTTTGTGTGTTTAAATGTGGACAGTACCTCTTGTAGAGGCACCAATTCTTCTATAGGGAGGGGTAAAAGGGATGACTGGAAGATAAAGATCAGAATAAATTACTGACAGTAATTTTTCCATACTAATGTGGGTAAAGAATTATATGTTTGTGGTATTATTTCCCTAGTAACTAACAATGTTGAGTGATGTTTCTTCTATTGGTTACACATCCAAGTGTTTGCTTTAGTGGCATATCTGTTCAGGCTCTTGACATTTTTATGGAATATTTTACCTGATCAATTTGTTGTAATACTTGGTATGGTCTAGATGAAAGTCTTTTATAACATATTATATATATATATATGTGTGTGTGTGTGTGTGTGTGTGTGTGTGTGTGTGTTTAAATACTACCTTTTGTGTCTCATTCTTTCCCTGTGGAAAAAAATATTAAATTTTGAAGAGTTTTAATATGTTATTTGGTTATTTTATGCTTATCACAAACCCTTGAAACATATTCTAACATATTCTCTTAGGGGATTTTTGGCACTTTTAGAGTTCTATTATCACCTTTAGGTCTGCATCATGCCTAAATTCATTTAACTTGTGTTTGTAGTATGTGGTCGAGATCAAAATTCATTATTTCTGTGCAGACATCTACTCGACCCTACACCATGTGTTGCTGATACAGTTATGTCTATTGGATGGTCTTAGTGCCTTTGTTAAAAAGAAATTGGCTATATATGGTAGGATCTCCTTTTAGAGGTCCACTCACTTTCATTAATTCACTTGTATTCATTTATACAAATCCTCCACTTTATCTATTACTATAGTTTGTAACAAGGGTTTTGGTACAGTTTGTAAAATAATTTGAGTAAAATTATTAGGTTAGTTTTTTTTGTGTACAATGTTGGATAAGACAGTTCTAATTCTTTCTGTTCATTATGTCTTTGATTATTTTTCTTTACTTATTGCTCTGACAGGGAGCTATAAAATCTCTGTCTCTCTGTCTTTCTGTATCTGTCTGTTAATGATGGTTGTTCTAGGGTGTTTTTAAAAAATGTTTTCTTTATTTATGGGTATGCATGTAGACCTGCTTATCTGTACATGCACCATGTGCATGTAAGTGCCCATGGAGGTGAGAAGAGGATATTGGATCCCTTGGAACTGGAGTTATAAGAATCTGTGAGCCACCCGATGTTGGTTCTGGAAACTGAACTAGAATCCTCTGCAAGAGCAGCATATGCCTTTCACCACTGAAAAATTTCTCCAGCTCTGTTCTAGTATTTGATATGCATTTTCCTGAATTAAAATAAATACCATTTGTCATAAATGTATGGATCTTAAAGAACCATAATTTTCAGGGGCTGGAGAGATGAGTCAGCAGTTAAGAGCACTGACTGCTCTTGTGGAGAACTTGGGTTCCATTCCCAGCACCCACATGGTGGCTAAGAACCAGTCTTAGCTCCAGTTCCAGGGGAATTCCAATGCCTCTTCTGACCTCTGTGGCATTGCATGACAGGGGTGCACTCACATTCATACAGGCAATACATTAATACACATTAAATAAAAATAATAAATGAAGTATTTAAAAAGAGCAGCAATTCTATAAGAGGTGCTTAGAATGTGTTTTTTGCCAAAAAGCATTGACTCCTCAACTGGTCCTACAAAGTAACTGAAGTCACCACAGAACATGACATTTCTACCTTAACTTTGTATCTCTTTC